CCATAGCAGGGGCCTGCTCAACACCTCACTGTTGTCCACATGGACCTGGAGGTACTGTGAAATATGTTCAGTGAGTCCTGGAAGTCACAGTAACACTCTGAGTTAGATGGGGCCTTATTCTTTCAACTTGACACATGGTGAAATTGAGGTGTGATAAACATTTAAATAGACAACTCAGAAGACATTGTCAGAGCCTAAATGGATGCTGTTTTCTAATTACTAACCCACAGCTCTATCCACCAAGCTTTCCAACTTTGTGGAGTGATAACACCTGCACACTGGTTTTTAGGCCACAGCTCCTCTTCCCTGACTGCAGTGTCAGACTAAGTACACATAAATTCAGCATGACAGCTGCTCTTGCAGGTACCCTAGAGACACCTCATACAACCCTGAGCTTCTGTTGATCACAGTTGGAATAGAACTGCTGATGACTATAACCTGGGAAACAGCATCTCTAGTTGCAGGCAGAGATACAATTTAGAATGTGCTCCATCTTACTCCAAACCTGTCTTTTCATTTAGATCCAGTGTATCCTTTTAATAATCCTGCTGGCTGCTATGCCAATGGCCAGATCCGTGCCCACGGAGACCGGTGGCGGGAAGATGACTGCACTTTCTGCCAGTGCATCAACGGAGAGCCCCACTGCGTTGCCACGGCCTGCGGACAGAGCTGCATGCACCCGGTGAAGGTGCCTGGGGAGTGCTGCCCCGTGTGCGAAGGTAAACCTCGTAGGTCCTAATGAGCCCCTGGCTAATGCCGTGTTGGAGAAACTTCTACCAGTATGTTCTTGTTTGTTTTTCATTTCCTCAGGCATAATGTCTGCTTCACGCTGTTACCAGTTGCAAACGAATTTATTAGACAGCCCAAACTCATCATTTGGGGAATATGTTGCAAATTTAAAAGGAGAATAGTGTGTCATTATTTCACCATTGCAAACCTGCTAATCTGAATATTTTTCAGTAGAAGAATATATACATTTTAATTCAGTTCACTTCAAGCCTAATTAACATCCAAAGGTCAACACAACGAAATAAAATTGGGAATCAGAACTGTGACTCAAGCATAGCATGTCTGCTTGTGATGATTTTTTATAAGCTCAGGAGTCCTGGCAGCCAGAAGAAAAAACTGGAACCAACAAAGGCAGTTTCGTTCCCTTGTGCCCTCACTCTGAGCGTCCTTTCTACTCTTAGTGTCACTATGGCTGTGGTTCTGCAGCTCCTCTAGTGCTTTTACTTATATCTACATTTGCTGCCTCTCTTCCTGTTCAATGGAGAGAAGCCTGAGGCATCCTGCACTAGTTTTCTGTCCCGATTCCTATTCCAGTCCATTTCCTCCATCCTGGGAAGATTCCTTACATACTGCTCATTTCAGTCTTAATCTTCTGTCCATGTCTGTTAATACAGACAAGAGGTTGAATATTTATACTGACAGATCCAATCAAGAGTGTCTATCTTGGGCCAGCCCGGTGGCGCACTGGATAGTGCGCCGCTTGGGAAGTGCGGCGGCGCTCC